ATCCCTTTGAGAGTCTTCTCTTACTATGCATGGAAATGGATTGTCTACCCTTGTGCAATTAGTTACAAAACAACTGGCATGTGTAATCAGAGGCCAGTGTTCATGAATACAAAGCATTTATATTGCTCAAAGGTGCTTCTTTGTTGCAAATCACCTCTTTGGTAACAGGTAATGTTTGCAATTAAGAACAGAGAAAAACTTCCTCTAAAAAATTCTGTGTTCTACCCAAAGTTATATCTAGATTCAATGCAATCCCCATCAAAATACCAATGATATACTTCACAGAACTAAAACAAATAATCCAAAGTTTATATGGAACCAAAGAAGATTGCCACAGCAATCTTGAAAAAGAAGAACAAAGCAGGAGGGATCACATTACCAGATATCAGGTTATACTACAAAGCCACTGTAATCAAAACAGCCTGGTACTGGCACGAGAACAGGCACATAGATCAATGGTACAGAATAGAGAACCCAGAAATGGACCCAAGACAATATGCTCAATTAATATTTGACAAAGGGGGCAAGAGCATACAGTGGAGTAAGGACAGCCTCTTTAATAAATGGTGTTGGGAAAATTGGACAGCTACATGCAAAAAAATGAAGCTAGACCACCAACTTACACCATATACAAGAATACACTCAAAATGGATAAAAGACTTAAATGTGACCCGTGACTCCATAAAAATCCTAGAAGAAAATGCAGGCAACAAAATTTCAGACATAATACGCAGCAAAATTTTCACTGATATATCACCTACAGCAACAGAAACAAAGGAAAAAATGAACGCATGGAACTACATCAAACTAAAATGCTTCTGCACAGCAAAAGAAACAACCATCAAAATGGAAAGGGAACCCACTGTATGGGAGAGCATAACTGCCAATAATATATCAGAAAAGAAGTTAATTTCCAAAATATATAGAGTACTCACACAACTCAACAAAAGGAAGACAAAGAACCCAATTAAAAAATGGGCAGAGGACCTAAAGAGATACTGGAAATACAAATGGCTAAGAGACATGTGAAGAAATGCTCAACATCACTAATCATCAGAGAGATGCATATTAAAACAACAATGAGGTATCACCTCACACCTGTCAGAATGGCCGCTATCAACAAATCATCAAACAACAAGTGCTAATGAGGGTGTGGAGAAAGGGGACTCTAGTACACTGCTGGTGGGGATGTAAACTGGTGCAGCAACTATGGAAAACACTAGGGTGTTACCTCAAAAAATTAAAAATTCAACTTCCATTTGACCCAGTCATCCTACTTCTAGGAATATACCCTAAGAAGCCTGAAACACCAATCAGAAAGAATATATGTACCCCCATGTTCATAGCAGCACTATTTACAATAGCTAAGATCTGAGAACAGTCCAAATGTCCATCAGTAGACAGATGGATAAAAAAGCAGTGGTACATATACACGATGGAGTACTATGCAGCTATAAGAAAGAAAGATCTCTTATCCTTCGAGATGACATGGAGGGACCTGGAAAGTCTTATCCTAAGCAAAACAAGCCAAGCAGAGAAAGACAAATATCACATGATCTCACTTACTTCTGGAATATAATGAACTAAAACTGATTAATAAAATAGACCAAGAGACATAGAAGTAGGGTACAGACTGACATTCCTCAGAAGGGGGGGTTGAGGGAAGAGATAAACCACAGAACTTACATGCATGTACACATAACCGATGGACATAGACAACAAAACTGGGGATGGGATGGGAGGGGATAGGGAGCAGGGAGTTAATGGAGGGAAAAAGGTGAAATATCTGTAACAAAAACAAATTAATAAAAATAAACAAATAAGTCTGTGTTCAGTGAAAACTTTCTATGAAATAATTTTGTGGGTGAAAACATATGTTCTGCCCAGCACATTCTGATGAAACATTCAGCATACATGCATAAGGAACAGGAGGAAATCAGAATACAAGAAATTTCCTTCGAGAAATGCTGTGAGCTTTCTGATTGTTGAGGAGGGGTGACTTGCAGCACTGAATTGTGACAAATAAGACGTTACCGTGGTATGATTCCCATGAATTTGACTTCTGAATACAGACGAAGTCTCCTTGGATATCTCTGTGCAGGCTACAGTAAAAATTTGCTAATCAATACATATGACCCCAGGGTAATATTAGTTCCTTTAAATGTCCTTGGGTCTATTTGGTCTTTCTTGCCCTAAACTCTGGTTGGACCAAACACTCAGGGAACAGGGGTACGAAGTGCTAAACTGGTCTCCCTAGACTCTGAGTTATCATTTTCCCTTTTATGTCATCTTTAACTTGGACATTGTAAAGACTGTTGAAACTGTCTAGGTCCTGACAGGGCAGAGAAATGCAGATGCCATTTTGAGTGACATATATACCTGCACATATTAAACAATTAAAATATTAAATATTAAACAATTAACATATTTTTCTGGGGACCTTTTGAGGGTTCTTCACCACATATAGTAAATATAATGCAAAGTGATCTGTGTTATGAGGACAGTGACTCTCCAACTGCATGTCACCTGGGCTTGCTGATGCACAGATCACCTGCCAGGCCACTCCCAGTGCCTCTGAGTCTGTAGGTCTGGGGTGGGGCCTGAGAATTTCCTTTTCTTTCTTTTTTTTTTTTTAATTGATTTTCCAGAGAGAGAGGGAGAGAGAAAGAGAGAGAAACATCATGTTGCCCCACTTAGTTATGCACTCACTGGTTGATTCTTGTAAGTGCCCTGACCGGGATGGAACCTGTAACCTTGGCGGACGGACACTGTTTGATCCCACTGAGCTACCCCAGTTTGCATTTCTAACAAGTTCCCAAGTGAGGCTGATGCTGCTGGTCCAGGGATGACCCTACAGGAATCACAGATGCAGGAGAACACCGAGCACAAGGGAGCCTGAGGTGGGAGCCACTTCCAGTGTGAAGGGAGGAGAGAGTACGGAGGTGATGATGTCAGAACTGGGATCTGAGCCTGTGTTCTTTATAGTGTAACCCATCGTCTAATGGGACCCTGGGGGTGTGGGTGGGGGTGCTCTCAGGGGGAGGACAGGGGAAAGAAAGATCAGGAGGAGTTTGTTGGAAAAGGTTTTCCCAAATCTTAGTGAGGAGAAAAAGACTAAAGATATATTGCTGGTTTCCACTGATAAGCTAATGAAACCCAATTAAATGAAGTTTTCTTATTTTCTTAACATCTGTGTCAGCCATGTGGTAAACACTCAAACTGAATCTACTAGAAGAATGTGTGCAAGTTTTATGGTAGTGGACAGACAACTCAAAAAGTCATCCCATTAATTAATAACTGCAATCACCAATGTGGTCTCAGATGAGAGCTCGTGGGCGAGGCGAATGGCCGGAGCTGGATGGCACCGTAGGTCCGGCCCACGCTCCCATGGGGGGCCACAAGGCTGCCGGACGCCTGGGGAGGAGGACGGCTGCGGGACGGCTGGGGAGGGGGACGGCCGGGGAGGAGGACGGTCGGGGAGGAGGACGGTCGGGGAGGAGGGCGGCTGCGGGACGGCTGGGGAGGAGGACGGCCGGGGAGGAGGACGGCCGGGGAGGAGGACGGCCAGGGAGGAGGACGGTCGGGGAGGAGGGCGGCCAGGGAGGAGGACGGTCGGGGAGGAGGGCGGCTGCGGGATGGCTGGGGAGGAGGACGGCCGGGGAGGAGGACGGCCGGGGAGGAGGACGGCTGGGGAGGAGGACGGCCGGGGAGGAGGACGGCTGCGGGACGGCTGGGGAGGGGGACGGCCGGGGAGGAGGACGGTCGGGGAGGAGGGCGGCTGCGGGACGGCTGGGGAGGAGGACGGCCGGGGAGGAGGACGGCCGGGGAGGAGGACGGCCGGGGAGGAGGACGGCCAGGGAGGAGGACGGTCGGGGAGGAGGGCGGCCAGGGAGGAGGACGGTCGGGGAGGAGGGCGGCTGCGGGATGGCTGGGGAGGAGGACGGCCGGGGAGGAGGACGGCCGGGGAGGAGGACGGCCAGGGAGGAGGACGGTCGGGGAGGAGGGCGGCTGCGGGATGGCTGGGGAGGAGGACGGCCGGGGAGGAGGACGGCTGGGGAGGAGGACGGCCGGGGAGGAGGACGGCTGCGGGACGGCTGGGGAGGGGGACGGCTGGGGAGGGGGACGGCCGGGGAGGAGGACGGCCGGGGAGGAGGACGGCCGGGGAGGAGGACGGCTGCGGGACGGCTGGGGAGGGGGACGGCCGGGGAGGAGGACGGTCGGGGAGGAGGGCGGCTGCGGGACGGCCGGGGAGGAGGACGGTCGGGGAGGAGGGCGGCTGCGGGACGGCCGGGGAGGAGGACGGCCGGGGAGGAGGACGGCCGGGGAGGAGGACGGTCGGGGAGGAGGGCGGCTGGGGAGGAGGACGGCTGTGGGACGGCTGGCACAGCTTCCCCCTCCCCTCCAGCACCTCTTGTTCGGAAACGCCCACCCCCTCCGCCTTCATCTCCTCATTACCATCAAATAATATTTCTCAAGTTTACTCATGCATGGGCCCTGTCTTCTTCCATTCTGCTCAAATTTTCCTCTTCACTTCCCTTTCTCTTCCTGGCTTGTCCTCAATATGCTGATTTTTTCGCTCTGGCTAACAGCTGTGCACACGCCCGCCCGGTCTATGGGGTCTGGGGCTTCAGCGAGGGGCAGGCGTCCGTCGGAGGAGACGCAGGGGCCCGACGCCGCACTCGCAGGCTTGGGTGGCACTTGCTGGACAGAGGAATTCATCATACAGGGAAGCGTACCCCGACCGTGACCCAGGAATATTAAACAAGGCGAAAGGGATTTACAGATGCCTGTATAACTGAACTGGAAGAGAAGGGAAGAGGGAGGGAAGGGGAAGAGACACTGACTGACCTTCCTTCTCAATGTGCACATATTTCCCACCTCCCTTTGGAGGACAAGATGCCCCTGTTCCATGGTGGCTGGCGATGGACATATATTAAGATCTGACTAAGAAAATTCTAGACCGTGGGGCCTCTCATCCAGGGGCTTTCCATTCCACTTACCTCATCAAGGCATCTCTCGTACTGTTCCCTTTGATTCTCATTTTCCAAAGCCAATGCTGAATTCTCCGCCTGCAGTGAGACACAGAAATAATACAAATAAATCAATGAAATGTTATATTGTGTGACAACGTAGTCAATGCAGTTATGAAACATACCTCCTCAGGATCCAAAACAACTTTGAGAAGAGCCTTTGACAAGTTTGCTCTAAGTACCATTTTAAATATCTCAGGGATGACTTCTGTCTTATCTTCTTGTTTCACAAAAATGCATTACCATTTAAAGAAATGTAAAACCTCATATTCTGCACAGGTAGGAAATCAGATCATGGCCTGATGGGAGAGTGTTCTATAAAAAGATTACAATGTTTACTTCATTCTATGAAAATGTAAATGTAAGAAATGCCTTAATCCACTTCATCAAGACCTGTCTCAGCTTCGCAGCCCCGTATCTGTGCAGGCCACAGAAAAGGATCTTGGGTAAACTGCTGAAAGCACAATACCGAACGCAAACTAAACATGTTGTTTTTTCTGGTTAATCCAGGACCTTTGCACATAAGGATGTAATGAGAAATGTAAGAACTGGATTATACTCAGGAGTCCTTCTCCCTGTCTCTCTCATTTTAGAATCACTGCTTTTCTGCTCCTCCGAGCCCTGTGGGTACCTGAATGCTGCTATACCCATTACTATAAGGTATGAGGTTAATTATGGTTACCAGGTTACTATGTGGAATAATAAGGGAAGAAGTAGTCAAAATAAGCACATTAGATTTTAGGAGGAGCATGACGTGGAGGCATAGAACTGCCTTCTGCCCCTGGTGACCTGGGTCCACTTCTGCCACTGTTGGCCCCAGCCTGAATTCTGAATTCTGCAAGTTAACCCTTTCCATGTGTATGACAGTGACCTCCTCCCCCTCCCTGAAGCAGACAGGGCGCTGCTAGCCCCGTATATAGAACCTGCTTGATATTGTGGCGGGGGTGGGGTGGAGACGGAGCTCTGAAACAATTCTTTCAAAATCATGGTATAATTTTTAGGTGGTACACAGATCAACATTTTCCCTTTATAGTTTCTTCCTAATAATTATTTTAAAAAATGGATTTGAAAATAATTTCAAACTTACAGATAATTTACAGGAATAGATTCATCAACTGTTAACATTTTGCTACATTTGCTATATCATTCTCTTTCTCTTTCAGTCTTTTTCCTGACACTTGAAAGTAAGTCATAGACATGATGCTCTTTATCCTTAAATACTTCTATGTATTTCTGAATAACAAATATATTCTCTTATGCAACCACGCTTTAGTTTTGAAATTCAGAAAACCCAACATGAATAAAGTTCCACAATCTAATCTATAGTCCTTATTCCGATTTCATCTATTGCCCTAATAATGTCACTATAGCACATTTCTTCTAGTTCCATGCATTGCATCTATTTGTCATTCATCCAGGGTCCTTTATTCTGAAATAGTTCCTCTATCTTTCATGCTATTGACTCACCCTTTACTTCTTTTCCTTCCCTCCCTCCCTCCCTCCCTCCCGTTCTCCCTCCCTCCTTCCCTCCCTCTCTTCCTTCCTTTCTTCTTTCTTCCCCTCCCTTTCTCCTTTCCTCTGCCCCATCCTCCCTCCTTATATTTTTACAAAATTAGAGTCCAATTATTTTCTGGACTGTCCCTTTCTTTGGATTTGTTTCAACTTTCTCATGCACACCTGGCAGGAGTAGTGGAAAGTGATGCTGGGTCCTTCTCGGTGCGCCGCATCAGAATCCTGTGATGTGCACGTGTCTTGTTCTTGGACAAGTTAACTTTGATCACTTGGTAAAGATGGGGCCTGCCAAGTCTCTCCAATACAAAGTTACTTCTTTCCTTTTACAGTTAAAACATAAATCGTGGGGAGGTATTTTGAAATGATGAAAATAGCTCAGTCCTTATAAAACTTTCATCTACTAATTTTAGCAACCATCAAGGAGTCTTCCCTGAATCAGTGATTACTTTGTTTGCAAATGATGATTTCTACCATTTATCTACCTACATTTTTGAGTTTTCATTCCATCATAAGGAAGTGCTTTTACTATTCATTTATCAGTATGAACACACAGATTCTTATATTATTGAAAGGGTTATAAATTATTACTGCCAGTATTTACTTTGATGATCAAATTGCCCAGCTTTGAGAAGGCGAACCCCTTTAGGCTGTATCCTTTATGACCTGTTTCCATTATTTAAAAAACACTTTCTTCCTTTTTTGGCACACGGAAATGGTTCAGGTTCATTTGCTTTTTCCTTGCCCCATTCCTGAAATTGACCATTTCTTCAAGGAATCCTGCTTTGCTGGGGAGTGATATTTGGAAATTAAGGTGTGGCTGTTAGTGTGCGCCAGTTGCTATGGAGAAGTCATTGCTTCCTACACACACACACACACACACACACACACACACACGCCTTTCAACCACCACAGAATAAAGAATTCTTACTCTTTCTATTTGTATCTTCCTTTTTCTAGTGCATGAGCTGCCAAGATTATACTAATTTCTACAGTCCTACAGTGCATACAAAAATTTTAACACCAGCCTGACCAGTTTGGCTCAGCAGTGAGAGCGTCGGCCTGAGAACCAGAGAGTCCTGGGTTCAGTTCCCACTAAGGGCACGTACCTCAGCTGCAGTTTGTCTCCGGCCCTGGTTGGGGTTGTGTGGGTGGCAACCATCGATGTGTCTCTCTCATGTCGATGTTTCTCTCTCTCTCCTTCTTCCTCTCTCTGTCCCGCTCTATCTGAAGATAAATGCAAAAATGTCCTCAAGTGAGGATTAAAAAAAATTTTTTTTTAACACCAAAAAATAGTATTAATAAGAATTCACAATTTTTTTCTTTTCCAGAATGAAGTTACATAGTAAAAATACTGTGTTAAAAAGTTACTAGATTGGTATCCCCCAACATTAGTGTAGTTATGCTATTCATTTGGAATTTAGTTCACTTATTTGTTTCTGATAGTATTCAGTTTTTTTATATATATATATTTATTTATCTTCAAATAGAGTGGGAGGGAGAGAGGGAGGAAGAGAGAGAGAGAAACACAGATGTGAAAGAGACACATCGACTGGTTACTACCCACACATCCTCAACCGGGGCCGGGGACAAACTGCAATGGAGACACGTGCCCTTGACCAGAATCGAACCAGGACTCTTTTGGTCCACGGGCCGATGCGCTAACTGCTGAGCCAAACCAGCCAGGGATGATAGTACTAATTTCAATCTCTCCTCTTCTTGTTGATTGCATTTTCTTTTTTAAACATGAAAACACATTAACATGACTGTTAAAGTCAAAACCACACTAAAAGGCACAGTCAGCGAGGTGCCTCTCCTACAACCCCATTTACATCCACATCTTTCAGGTTCTTTAACACTGTTCATTACTCCTTTTTTTGTCTTACTTATTTGTCACTACCTCGTTAAAATCATGTCCCTTGACTCCCTCCTCTTACATATGCAACAATACCCCTCCCCTCCCCGCCCCTCCCCTCCACTCCCACCCACTTTCTAGTTGCATTCTTCCTACTTTATGAGAGCACAGCATGGTCACGTGATGTTCTCTCTCACCTCATCCTTGTTTCAGCCTCTTTAATAAGTGACACCTGGGGAGGTTGGTCTTGTACGTCTCCATTATTTAAAGCATCATAATATTTCCCTTCTTCCTTTCTTTCACAACCACATTTCCAAATCGCATCTCCCCTTCTCTCTTGGCTTCCTTCTCCCCAGAAATGTTGCCTCCCTGACACAGCCACACAGCCACGCAGCCCCCTCCCCCTCCGCCCCCCATGCAGCCCTGCCCAGAGCCACGTGAGAACCAACCATACCCACCTGAGGTCAGCACTGAGCACGTGCTGTGCAACCTTCCTCTCTGAGGGTGCTTTAGTTTTCTACTTAGAAGACTCCGAAGTTCTAGTGTTCTGTTTTCTGGTAATGCAAAGACGTGGGTTATGTGTGATTTTATTTGTGTTCCTAATGATTTGATTTTCTTTTTCTTTTTTTTTTTTTTTTTGGCAGAAGTAACATATATTTCAGATTGAGGCCAGTGTGTTACTTAGCAATGAAACAGAGAAGTGGGTGAACTAGGCTGGGGCACAAGAAGTGAGGAAACAGGTTGAGGGGAAATCTGCTCAGAGGTGTGCTTGCCCCAGAACATCTGGCTCTTACTCACAGTTTGAGGCCCAGGGTCCAAAGCCCCGTTTCTTCTTCAGATTTCAGTTCTAATCTTGGCTTCAACCTTGTCCTCTGGGCTCAGACACGTTTCAGCAACATACCCAACCTTTCTGTCCCTGAGGGGAGATTTCGCCATGTTTTTTCCATTCCCCTCATGGACAGATATCTGCCACAGAGCCTGATCCTCCTACCCTCTCGCTGGTTCTCGGTTCGAACTTCTGAAGAATTGGTTGTGCATAGACTTCTTCCTCTCTTCACTCCCCACCCAAACCAGACTGAAGGCTTTTGCCGGCTTGTTGCTGTCTCCTTCAGGGATTGCTTCAGCCTGTCACAATGAAGCTGCTATCACCTCTCCTTTCCATACTCAGCCCAGATGGGAGGCTGGGCCCAGGTCTCAGTTTCATTCCATTGAGTTTACCTGGCAATGCCAGCTTGTGTGACCTTTGGCAAGTCCTTCAACCTTGTTGGCTTTACAGTTCTTTAGCTAATACCCAAAGGAAACAACCTCGCCAATCTACAAAGTGACTTCCAGTTCAAATATATGGACACCATGATAGCCAGGGAAACTGCTGAATTCTAGTTCTGTAAACCCACTGCTTTCTTAGAAGAAATTTAGCTTTTGCAAAGTCTGCTGGTTTTAGTGAGGCAATAGCACAAAGGATAATGGGAAGAGATAAAGGAGAGAATAGCGATGCCGGTTTACATTGTTTTCACTTTAAATGTCTTGGAAAAAATGGGAAAGGAAATAAAGCTGAAAATGGGAATTTATATGGGATGTCTGTATTTGCTGCTACCCACAATATCACATTGCAATAACACTACCTTCGATCTGTTCAGATAATTACCATCATTACACCATTTAGTTGCTCGCCTCA